TGCCATAGGTTTTTTCAGTGATTTCAAGATTCTAACTATTGCTAAATTAAATGAAGAAATGGTGGATATGGGCCAATTATAAGATATAACTCCAAAGGTTTATAACATTAGATGTGCAGCTCATACATTACAGTTAGCAATTAAAGACAAGTTATGAGAAATTAATTATTGACCGAGCAAGGCAAGATGTAAAATTTTATGGGACTATTCAATTTCAACAATATTGTTCAAAATTTCATAATGGGTTTACCTGAGTTTATACAAGATTCTAATCTGAGCCCATGTTTATAAAAACAAATAGCTTTAGTTTAGGGCTATATTTCTATAACAAATATTAAGTATGCTTGATACATCCATTTTGTAAAAAAAAAATACAAATTTATTTTGTGATAAGGATATATTTTGAAAATTAAATTTATTCTATTCCTTTCACTTCGTGCTTATTTATTTAAATTTTAAAATCGAAATGAAATTAAGAGGGTACGCTTGATATAGAAATTATAGAACAAGTTCCCGAAGTGTTTAAATTATATCAGGAGTATTTTACATAGATGAAAAATCAAGATACTGATATTCTGTCAGTCTGCTATTTTTTTGCTAATAAATGTGGTTGAAACAAGAGAGGAACACAATGATAAAACATAAACTAATCCGTAAATTAGGAGTTATGTATTTTGTCATCTTCATTCTGAACATTTTAATTACCTAACAAAATGAGAACATCTTGTGTTCTAGGTTTTTGATGATATTTTTAATGAGGATAATAAAAATATTGATTATATATATACAAGCATAAATCCCGTCGAGAATGACGGGTGAATCATAATTTTGTCCTCTATTTAATTGCTGAAGAATCAAAATTTTGGTTTATGGCTATATAAAAAATGAAAATAATATTTAAAATTTTACCATAAAAGTAGGCATCACATATTTCCAAATTTGAGAAAGATGCAAGATTATAAACATCGTTTGGTATATCTCAGTACTCAGTAGGAATTTCTTATAGCAACAAATCATAATCTTAGACTTGAATTTTTATGAATCAAAATTCATTAAAATATATAGTACCTTTATAAAAGATTATTTTAATGATATTTCCTATATTCTTATCATCTATATTTGGGGGTGAGTTATAAATTTCATGAGCAGTGTTTGAGATTACAGATCATTATTCATTTAATGTTTATTTCCATTATATTTTTATATAAAATATATAGGAAAACATTTAGTAGCTAGATTTTACACTATTATCATCCAAAAGCATGTTTAAAAAAGGCAGAGTATAATTGCTCAAAAAAAATCTTCAAAGATTATGATATCTGAAAATTTTTTAAAATGAAGATTTTTTGAGAATACTCAAACTGAATTTACAACCAAATTTTACTTATAATTCCAAGTTATTTTTGTAAAAAATCTTTAGAAGTAGTTTTTTGTTTTTATCAAAAAAAAATTATAAGTTAATCTTCTATGACTTTTATGTATTAACAGTATTTTATTCCCGTATCGCAAATCTCCACATGCAGCAAGTTACTCCAGCATCATTATTATTAAGACGGGAGTTTTTAGGACCCTTTTCGAAATTAATACATGAAGGGTTTAAATATAACTTAATAATGAGGAACTAAAAACGTTTCAAGATAAAGATACGGTATGGAATCAACCCAGTTGGTTACCTGGAGAAATAAGAGATCGAGTTAGTCCAACGACATATATTTACAATGCCTTAAGCTATAGGGAAAAGACATTTGAATCACTTACGGAATAGATTTATCACAAATAAAGATATTACGACTAACCAGGAAAATATAAGGGAAAGTGTATTGAGCTCTGAACCATCAATTTTCTACAACGGAATAATAACGAATGAACATATGAAATAAAAGAAAAGTCTTCACCTTACCTAACGAAACTGAAAAGCACCGGAAAATTTTTGCCAGGTGATGGATAGTGTTATATTTGAATATGATATATTATATTAACGTTCTATAATTTATTATTGTACATAAGCATAATTTGAATAGTTTTTTTTATCATATTTCTTAAGTATTATCTTAACATTGTTTAAGTTTTTATTTTATAATTTGAATATACTTTTTATCACTTTGTTTAAGAGATTAACATATTAAGTTTCGGCTATAAAAGAACCAGCATATAAAAAGTCATTTTTATATTTCAAAATATTTGATTCAAATTCTATTACTTCTCAAACACAACAATATTTATTAAACAATAGAGTTGTACTACAAATAAAATTAATTCATAACTTAGTGGTGGTTTCGATATACTTTTTTTACAAAGTGTCGTTAGTTAAAACATTTTATCCATGTATGCATCTCTCAATTGTTTCATGCTGGCTGTTACTTCATAAGCAGGGTTTGGCAAATCTTTGAATACAAATACTTTTCAAAATCTTGTATCTAAAAGATACAAGAGACACTCAATATTTATATAATTTATTATTAAAAACCGCGATAATTAATATATTATGAATATTTGTGAAAATTATGTAAATAAATTTAGGAAAATGGACATGGACACTACTATATATTTTTTTATAAAATGCCAAATAAGACTCAATTCATAGATATGCGGCCACAATCAGTGGCATAGCCAGGATTCGCCCAATAGGGGCACGGTACAAAACGCAATTGATTCACACGATTAAAATTGCAATTTTTACTCATTAATTCGGCGAGTATAATCAATAATCTCGAAACTATTTTCTAGATCTGGTTTACCACGTTACATTGTTTAAGATAATAGTACACTATTTACCTCACCTGAATTTGAAACTTTTCTTTTGACAATATTAGGCATTAGCGGTATAAAGCGATGGAACTTTTATGTAGAGAGCAGAACTTCGGATCTGTTAAATTTAGCAGATGTTTTGATAACTCCTATGAACACTCAAGATTCAAAGACGTATGAATGCCCTCTTTAGATGATTTTTCATAACCATGGGACTCTGAACAACGAGGAGCTTTCAAAGCGAGAACTTATTAAAAATTCGTTTTGGAAGCAAAAATATTATAAAAATAAGAATTTGTGACTCAAAGGGCAAGGGTTGAAAACGTAAGACCTCTGGTTGGCATGCAGGAATTATATTACAGAAAAAATTGATGTAGTATCAGACAGCATAGTAAAGATCAAGCAAGCAGATTTTTTTACAGTTGGATTTTATATGATCAAAGCTATAAACAATGGGGAATAAAATTTTATACCATCTTATTCATGTGATTTCTTTATTCATAGTAAAAAGGAATACCTTCATATTTTTATTTAAATACTTAAATAAGGAAATTTCATTACAAAAATTAAATTTACATTTTGAAAAGATAGGTCTTATTATAAAATACAGGAATTGTAATTACTTGCATAGTTACGGATTAAAACATGTTGAGAATGAGGAATACTATTGGTATGAATTCTCATTTAGAGAATACGTTAATTCAGATGTTTGTTTATATTGAATACTCTAGTTATTTCAAGATATGAAGTCTAATGGTAAATACCATATATAGAAATCCGACAAATTGGCAAATTAATTTAACAAAAAGTTATAAATATTACTATCAAAGATCTTTAACTAATTTGAATCACAAAACCTTGGATTTGTTTCAAAATAATCACTGAACATAGTGTTAAACAATGACTGGCACAACTGGTATTAATATTGTACACTAAACCAAATCATAAACGTTTAGTCAAATAGTGGTCCCTTCCATATTAACTCGAATTTTTGGAGATCCTAATATAAAAAGATTTCTGTCGATAATACAAAAATAATTATAATATCCAGTCAATTCTTTAGTGTAACAGATTCTACGGAAAGAATGTTTGCCTCCTTTCGTCTACGTTAATTAAAATTTAGAAACAGACTAACTAGAAAACTGGAAAATTAGTTTTTCTTTTTAAATATTATGATAAAATACTTTATCTATAAATTTGCGTTATAAAATATAAAATCAAATAAATTGAATGGAAATTTTTAGGGAAGGCCACTAAATTTTCATTTATTAAATTACTTAAAATCAGTTTAAATAATATCCATAAGGTATTTGTAATAAAATGTCAGGTGATTTATAAGTAATGTTTTGATAATTTTAAGGCCATGTCCTATTTTAAAATAATGCCAAAAAGTTTAAAACTTTTGCAAATTTTAATGAAATCGTATGTTTAATTTATAAAATTTTCTAGAATTATATTTTGTGCATGTTTATATTTAAGATAGCTTATTTATTCATTTTCATTAAAGTTTCGAAAGTTTGTGAATTTAATTTTTTGATGTTTTGGACATAGCCTAAATTGAAAATTTAATGATATTTTAATTTGAAATCTTTCATTTAATTGAAAATTTAATGATATTTTAATTTGAAATCTTTCATTTTCACACTGAATTGAATATAACCATTATTTTAATTTTTTAAATATAAGAAAAGTTTAATAAAAAATCAGGTGAAAAATATTTACTAATCATTTTCAAATCATATTTTGTAATAAATATAAAATAGAGAATAAAATAAATATTTTGAGTTTGATTATAAACTCCTTTTTTTAATGGGCCTCAGAGCCGGGCTCTGATACAAATGTTTTTTCTACCGACCCGCGGACGTGCTCAGACCAAAATAAAAATCGATATTGCATATCACTAATAGATAAATATAAAATAATGACGTATTTAAATAAGTAATATCAAAACGCTTACTACGTTATTAAGACGAATTCAATTTGTAATGGGGAGAACTAGTAACAGTAATGCATTTTAATTGAATATTAAATTCATTCTATTTTTTAAATATTTTTTATTGTTTTGGATATCATTCGTTTTTATACCTTGGAAATAAATTATAATATACTTTCTACTAATAAAATTATAACTTGATATCTTACAGTTTGAACGTCATTTTTAACAGTTAGATTTTGATAATTGATTTAGATATAAATTTAAAATTTGATCAATTCACTTATAAAAATTTTAAAAAATGTTTCTTTATTTGCAGCCCGACCCTTTCCACACCGTTTTTGGTATATCCGGATTATCTTTGTTAGGCACGTATCCCCGCAATATATTACCAATAAATCCGATATTTTGCTTGCCACAGCATATATTGCCTTCTCACCTTCAATATCAAATATTACCGCCTACTTAAATTCTCGTTATAAAAATAAAAAATTTTCGATATAATTATGGTTCCTTTTTGGAATACAATTAACCATGTATAATATTTTCTCCTTATAGTTTATTTTTTAAAAATCTTGTTCTTTTATATTTTAAACACGAATTTAGAAACGATAATAATTAAACTATTATATTTTTATCAAACCTAAATGAAAAGTTAAAATTAGAAATTGTAATTTAATTCGTTTTTTAAATGTAATTCTTTTCTTTTTTCCATTTTAAAATTTGTAAATAATATGTTCGCTATAATACTTATGATTTTAAGTATTGTTACCCTCTATCAAATAACCGTATATTTATTAATTGTCATTGACAAAATTGCTTAATAAACTATTACTTATTAAAAAAAATTTAATCATTCATCAGAGTCTTTTACCCAAGAACGTCATTCTAATCATATGGGGTTAGATTTATGGCTCAATAGTATGACCATTTAGCCTCCTCCCTCTCTTCTCATGTGCTTTTTTAGAATAAAAATTTGTATACCCACCCCCCCCCTCCCCTTGATTATTTAAAGAAAATTATTTCACTTTTTTTTATACACAATTATATATTTTAAATTGATAAATTTAATTAATTAAAAGTTTCTTTCCTCATTAATATTAAATTTTTCCCCGTTATTATGTTCAGAATAATATCCGGAAATATTCGGTGAAATATATAATGGGAATCGGCTAGATTTAGCTTATTTTTTATTGGCTTACTTAGTCTACTAATTAGTCGATAAAATGGGTAATTAACCGTGGCCGTTTTAATTGGCTCAGCTTAGAGCCACTTTAAAACGACTCATGTTATATAAAGCTTTTAATCAAAAATTTGCTCTTGTTTATTTTTAAGATAAAAACTTCTCACTTTTTTGGATGGTAATTCCCTTCAATATATCTCCTTCCACTTTATATGTTCATAGAATCCATTTTATTTAATTTTACTATATTGGCTTAAACCTTGTGGGCCCATTGGAATTTTGATCTTCTTTTTCGTTTACCAATCACTTCTAAAAGTAACCTTGTTTCCTATATAGTTTTTATCGTATATCCTAACTCTGTTCACAAATCTTTGTTTTATTGGATACTCCCTTTAAACTTCCTATCATATTTGTATTTCGTGTTCTATCCTTATTTAAACCCTAGTTATCGTTATTAACATTCTCATCTCTATTGTCTGTAAACTTCTTTCGTCTGTTTCCTTGCTGGGCTTTGTTTCCGAAGATACTATGTACCTGTATATTTTCCTAATTAGTGTGTGGAATTCTTTTGTTAAAGAGCACTCTGGATAAATTTACACACCTGTGCCATCCTTGAATAAAAAATAATCTTAACTTATATTTATTTGTAAAGACACGGGGAAAAGTCTTGTCTAAAATAGAATATTAGACATCGATATTGAGAGGAATTAGTAGGGATTTAGCCCAATTTAAAAATAAGGATATAATTTATCAAGCGAATATTTCTTTATTTTAACAATTAAGCTTAAAATAAAATCTGTTAATATCAAAAAAATAATTTTCTCATGAGCTTTATATCAGGGGCGTCGCTAGCCTTTACAATCTTAGGGCGCTCAACTAAAAATTTTTTATGAGACTTCACTTCCCATACCTTCCCGCCCACCCCCCTAATTTGCGGGCCTTCGGCCGGATTTTATATTAATATATTATACTTTTTAAAATTTGCTAACTAAACAATTATTCTGAATTTCATATTTTGTCATTTATTTATTATGCATACAAAATAAACTAATCAGGGGCGTCGCTAGCCTTTACAATCTCAGGGTGCTCAGCTAAAAAAAAATTTATGGGGGCTTCGCCCCCTACCCCCTAAATTTGTTGGCCTTTGGCCCGCTTTTGCCGGCCTTCGGCCGGGTTTTATATTAATATATTATACATTTTTAAAATATGCTAACTCTAGACAATTATTCTGAATTATTTTGTCATTTATGATATTTTGCATACAAAATAAACTAGCATATAAATAATTAAAACAATACAATAAATTTCTAAAAGTAATATTTTTTAATACAAAATCTATTTATTACAGTATAAAATATTTTTGATTGCTGATATAAAAAAATTTTGCGTAAATAATTACAAGTGATAAAAAAGGTTAATTAATTCATACATATGCCTCAATTGATAATGGTTTTTAAAAACCACATAAGGCTATATAATTCTAGCAAGTTACATTGACAAAAGGTCATGACACTCACGATGGTAACCCATATCAGAATTTATTATGTTAGATAAATTGATAAAACAAAAACAGTAAAAATCTTTAGAAGAAATTATGCAAATATATTGAAGTTTTGAGTTATTTACACGGCAAGGAAGCCATATTAGAAATGAGATTGTAATAATATCAAAAATATATTCATATAAATTTAGCTCAAAACTGTTTTTCAAAGAAGAAGAAAATAGCTTTCCTAAAAACACGTAAAAAAAAGAAAAGAAATCGAATTTATTACATCCATTGTGGGATGAATAATAAGAAATTTAATTTTAATAATATATTTAATAAATAGATGTTAAATAATTAAATGCAAATTGTTACTTATATTTATTATCAAAAGCATTATTTTTAAAATTTTAAAATTATTAACTGTAATATATTATATAACTGTCAAAAATGTCTGTAAAAATTGGCATTTTACATAATATTTTATAAATAATTATATATTATAAAGGATTATAAACTATTTATCTACTTACTTTTTATAAATAAATATCTTATACTCATTTGGATTTAGACCTTGAAAATAATTTTAGGAAGAGAAATGAAAATTATAATTAAAAATCTAAATGTAGTTGATTAGTGTTTTGAACTCGGCTAATTACAATATTAAATTTGTTAATTTTCAATTAATAAATGATTATATTTATTTAAGGTTATATAATAATTTAAATAATAAAAGTCAATTAAGCTTCAACTGTTAATGCTAAATTAATATTTAGTTATTGATATATTTGTAGTGTTTCTCTCCCTTATTAACACTTTTTAATAATAAAAAGAAACGATCAACTCTTTCAACGCAATTTTCTTATTTAAAAAAAAAAACTTACGTTAACTCCTTTTTTTTTTACAACTTCCTTTTTTTTTATCTTTAATTAATTTTATTTTCTAAAAATTTTATCAAAAAAATATAATAAAATAAAACAAAAATTTTCTTTTTTCAACAACAATAATAATAATAATAATAATTTCAATATTATAATTTTTTTTTAAATAAAATCAATAAAATGTCATTTACGCAATCAATAAAATGTAAAATGTAATATAAGATAATTATAATACGCCGCCATCAACAGAAGACCATCTCTTCACTCCCCCCTCAGGAAGGCGTCCAATTCTAAATCTGTCATCTCTAAATCCACTATATCGGGTGCTTCCACCCCATTGCTTGTATTATCAACTGCTTCCGCTACCGTAGGCGCCACCCTTGACACAGGTACCTCCTGTATTACTGGTCCCGTCTGGATATCCCGAGTTGGCCGTCTTTCTAGTTGTCGCCTCGGTTTCCGTGGACACCGATCTTGTAGGTGGTCTCGGGATTGGCAGAGATAACAAGTCCGTGGAGGATTCCGTCCTCTTCGTATCGGGCTGGATTGAACCGCCGGCGTAGGGAATTCGGATAATCGCTCCTCAGTATTTTGCGTGAATACACTTATTCTGATGATCATTCCGGGTAAATATATAAACTTATGTACTAGCATTTTTAAATTTTAAAAATTCTTCTTAAAAAAAAAATGTTAATTTTCAAAAAAAATATTTTAATTATAAAGAAAATAATTTTCAAAAATACTTTAATTATATAAAAAAAATTATGATATAAACGCCAATTTCTTCTATTCAAAACATCGTGACACCCCATAATTATTCTGCCAACACTTGCCACGCTCGTAAATTTTAACATCTCTTGTAATTTTTTCTCCACAAACATCCCAAATTTTACATTTTTTTCCTTGTGTTCAATTACAAACAACCCCTTTTTTTTTACAACGACCTTGTTCACAACTCTTTTTACTCCACAAATTGATTAATTAATTATAAAAATTAATTTCCTAAAAAAAAAATTTTAAATAAATTAAACAACCCGTAATAAGAAAACATCCCATAATTAAATAAATTAGACAACTCGTAATAAGAAAACATCCCATAATTAAATAAATTAGACAACTCGTAATAAGAAAACATCCCTTAATAAGATATAGATACTGTTACTGACCACAGTGATATATCTTAATTAACCCCTTCTATATTTAATCCAAATGATATATTTAAATCAACTCCGGTAATTAGACACCCCGTAATAATATATAAATACTGTTGTCAACCCACGCAATATATTTTGGTCAACTCCCTTAAGAAGAAAACCCTACGCATTAAGATATATATATCTATATCGAATAAGATTATCTAACTCTTTGTCCTTGGACATTAAAAATTTCCCAAGAGATAACTCTTGTTTCACCTCCCTTTTTTTTATATATACTACCACCTTTTAGCTAGGCTTGCAACTCCTTGTCCTTAGATATTACAAATTCACAAAGATAGAACTCTAGTTTCACCCCCTCTTTTTATATATTACAACTCTTTAGTCCTGATATTTTTTCCTAAATGAGAAAGCCTTACGCATTAAGATATATATGTCTATATCGAATACGATTATCCAACTCTTTGTTTGGACATTAACAATTTCCCAAGAGATAACTTGTTTTACCTCCCCTTTTTTTTAAAAAAAATATATTACCCCTTTTAGCCAGGCTTGCAACTCTTTGTTCCTAGATATTACAAATTCACAAAGATAGAACTCTTGTTTCACCCCCTTTCTTTATATTACAACTCTTTAGTCCCGATATTTCACTTGGTCAATCAGGTTTTGCATCTCCTTGTCCTTATATATTACAAATTCACCAAGACATAACTCTTGGTTTCACCCTTTTTCTTTTATATATTACAACTCTTTATTCCTGATATTTCACTTCTCTCT